TGGGTTCAGGCAAGGAGCAGGATTCAACTGACCATGCCAGTCAAAAGACATATTTTTCAAGACCCTTTTGCTGGCAACACTGCCTCTGTCTGTCTTGCTCTACAGAGCTGCAGCCAGTGGTACCACAGGACTATTATTCTGAACAAAACCACTGTCACTGCTAAAGCCCCTTCTGACCATCAAGCCTAAATTGATGTACAAAATCTTTTTAGAATGACAAAAACTGGTTGTGCCTATCACTACACTTGTGGATGGCACATGCACTTCCCCCATACAGCTGCACACAGAAAAGAAACTAGAAATAGGAAATCCTTGATCAATAAGTTGCCCAAGCTTCCATTTCTATGTGTTTTATTTGTAGTTTTCCAGCTAAGCTTGCATGAGTTTGTTTTGGCAATTAAAAAATCTTCTGTAACACACAGTTGAATCAAAAGGTATCCAAGCTGAAAATAAAGAAAATTAATATATCTACATTTTATCATGGGTTTTTATTACACTGGTCCAGGTGTGCTGATGGTTTATGAAATGAAGATGGCTTGAAAATAAGGCAATTCCACCTGTAATAGGCAACAGTATTATTAGATCAGTTATTTCCAGACAAAAGTGGTGGCATTCTCAATGCCAGAACATTCTCAATGCCAGAACAGGATGCATGTTTATCTGACCCAAGAAGTGACATGTTTATCTGTTTAATCTGACCCAAGAAGTTTACAATTAGTGATTAACGAAACTAAGTAAAGGATTTTGTGGTTAGGCTTTGCTTTTTTTTTAGATATTCTTTGTTGCTTCAGATCTAGAGTTGAGGTCCTGAAGCCTTCAGTAACTGGGAACTCAGCTGTGATGTTCACATTTTGTTTCACTTTGTTCACTGGCAGAGCCAGCAATGACATCAGTCATTGCTGAAGGGTTATGTGGGGAGACTGCAGCTGAAGAGCACCTGTAATTGCTGAACATGAAGGAAGACCAGTGTCTGTCAGGGTCACCAGACCATAGTCAGGGGCACAGTCCCTGGGTGGGGGGGGAAGAAAAGTGTAAGATGCAGACAGAGAAAAATGACCCCAAATAGTCATTAAAAAGAGCCAGACTCTCCTCAGAGTTCAAGATTCTGCATTTGACTGCCGAGTCCCTTGCTGCAGAACAGCTTTTTTCATCTAGTTGTCCCTTTATATATGCATCAATAGATGACAGATGCTATGGAAACACTGCAGAGTGCTTTGAAGTCTTCTGGTGTTTGAACCACTATTTTAGCTTCCATGGTCTATAAAAGGCAAAAGGTGTATTCACATTAGTCTATCAGTTTGGTTAAGGACAAGGTTTTTGAGGTGAATCTCCTTAGCTTTCACATTTATTGCACCTTTGTTCACATTGCTGAGCACTCTTGGAACACTTGAGCTGTGTTGCTTTTACACACACTAAACCAGAGGACCTGCTCCAGGGAAGATACCAGACTAGATAAAGTTCAAAGTAAAACTCCTGAAAGTCCTACAGCAAGGCCATCGTACCTTCAGAGCCAGCTTTTTTCCTTTTTCTCTCTGTAGTTTTGTTCCTCTTACCCTGTACTCATGACTAACATCAGCAGAGATTCCTGCTCTTCCTATCCAGACCTCCCTTCCAGCATTGCACTATTTGCTGGAAAACTTGTTTTTCCGTTCAGAGGAGAACTTAGCTATACTGAACAGTGCTTTTCTGTGAGCTAATCCTTCATTTTCTTCTCTTTTAATGAATTAAGCTTGTTTCTTCACCCTCCTTTTTTAAATAAAGGGGATTTTTCACTCACTGCAGCATCATTCAGAGAAGCAGTGGTAGAGTTGTAAACAGCCTACTTTTATGAGGATTAAATCTAGGAAGTATTCAGTCACTTGTTGTTAATGGTAGTGTTAATTTCTCAAGTGAACATTACCAAGATGAAATACAGACAAGACTCTTCTATGCCAGTAATGGCAATAAGATTCTGAAGGACTCAGCTTAACAGCTTATGTCAAGTGATGAGGTTAATGGAAAAGAATTTCGTTATTCAGGTCACTTAATGAAAATAACCTTGGAAGAGCTTAGCAGAGCCCTTGGGGTAGAATAAATTATTCCTCTTCTTGCTTCCATCACTTTAAGTTAACCCAAGACATAGAAGAAGCTGATCTAAACATGAGCTCAACCGGGCAGAGAAGCACTGGAGGAACATCAGTGATGACAGTGTGTTGTTGTAATCTCTGCTGTCACTCCAGTGGTAGAATAGAGCCTTTGAGCACAGGCTAGCTTTGCACAGCCAGAGCTTTAAAACAAGACAGTTTATGATGCAGGTTATCAAAATGCTGCAAGAAGACAGCAAAAATACTTAGCACAATTTTTTGGCCAATGCACAGCCTTTGGGTCAGCCAGACACAGTAAAGAGGCCACGGCAGCCATCAGTCACACTGCTCCTGTTTTGTGTGTCGCTGGTTTGCTTTGCTGCTCAGAAATAAGCTTCAGCTCTGGTGATCTGAGACCTTACACTGATCTGCTCCCAGATCCCAGGGAGCCTCTGTGGCTCTGCACCACCATTTCCCTCCTCATCCCTCAATTAAAAGTGCTGTAAGCTGCCCAGGAGCACGTGCCTTTACCACAGAGGCTGCTAGAGCCTCATGAAGCACTGCACCATTTTGAGGGTGAGGGCTGGTATGTGCCAGAATAAAGGAGGAGAGGTCACTTGGTTTGATCCCAAACATTGCATCAATAACTTTGAGTGCCCTAGATCCAGATTTAGAAAACCTCTGGAACAGACAGGAGTAGCACTACCCCCACCTGTAACATTACTACCTTCTCCTCAAGTGCCTGTTTCATATTCCAAGCAACATGAATAACTCATCTGTGGAAAGCTGAAAATCCTTTTCACAGCCCTGGGTACAATAACTTCGATATAGAAAAACAAGATTAAATTTGACAGTAATAGGAGTGATAGAGGGGAAGAGTGTTCTTCCTTTGAGGCAGAGGCTCTGAATACAGCAACCAGTCACTGGCTGAAAAAGGAGGGGAAGAAAGATAAATGCAGTTATATTCAAGCATCAGGACTTAAAAAAAAAAGCTTCTAGGAAAGAGAAAAAAACCCTGCACCTTTCTCTTGACATTTAACAAGCTACCTAAAGGAGCTAAACAAAGGAAAAGAAAGAGAGTCAAAGACCTTACAAAAAGAGCTGCTTCCAGCCATTTGTTACTAGATATCTTAAAATACATTTATCCAACCTTGCTAAGAGACACCAAGCCCTCTATGACCCACAGCAAATGCTCACTACTGTTTTCTCTACTTCCCCATGAGCCCTATTTATCCTCTCCCTCCTGCCTCTGTAGGGACCAGCCTGGGTAGCAAAGCCTCTCTACGCCTGTGTGTCTGTAGGCTGCCAGGGATTTAACTCCTCACGTGCCACATTTAGGGGAGCAAATTTATTCCCCAAAATCCCTCTGCCTGTGTGTCTGTAGGCTGCCAGGGATTTAACTCCTCACGTGCCACATT